GCACAGAACAACAACATTTTCCTTTCAACCTCCTTGAAAAATAAATTTCGTGCTCTTGTTTGGATTATGTTGAACATGTACATCACTTTTGATAAATGAGTTTGATATCTGTATTGGGATTGCATTGAACATGTAGATTGCTTTTAGTAGGATTCTCATTTTCACAATATCAAGTCTTCCTATTCATGAACAGGGAACATTTTTCCATTTCTTTAGATCTTTTATTGTGTTTCACAGAAATCTTTTGTAGTTTTCTTTGTACAGGTGTTTTGTGTCTCTAGTTAGATTCACTCCCAAGTATTTCAATTTGTGGTTGCCTATTGTAAACGGTATTGCTTTCTTGACGTCTTTCTCTGAGTTCTCTTTTTTACTGTAAAGAAATGCCACTGATTTTGGATATTGGTCTTCTCTTCTGCCACTCTATTGATTTGGTCTACTAGCTCTAATATATTTTTTTCTTGAGGGCTTGGGGTTTTCTGTGTGCACTATCATCTGCATGTAGTGACAGTTTAACCATTTCTTTGCAAATCAAGATGACTTCCCCACCCCCTTCTTTTGTCATATTGCCCTAGTAAGTACTTCCAGTACAATATTGAATAGAAGTGGTGACAGTGGGCATCCTTGTCTGGTCCCTGTTTGTAAGGAAAGTGCTTTTAGTCTTATACACTTTCCATTATATTGAGAAAATTCCCTTCTATTCAAATTTTGCTGAATGCCTTTATCAGGAAGTGATATTGTATTTTGTCAAATGCCTTTTCTGTATCAATTGCTAGTGTAGTATAGTTCTTGTTATTTGCTTTGTTAATGTAGTGTATTACGTTTATAATTTTTCTTGTGTTAAACCATTCTTGCATACCTGTTATGAATCCCACTTGATCATGACGAGTTGTTATTTTTTTTTACATGCTTTTGGATTCTATTGGCTAAAATTTTGTGAAGGATTTTTGCATCTACATTCATGAGAGATATTGGTCTGTAGTTTCCTTTGTTGGTAATATCTTTGCCAGGTTTTGGGAATATCTTTGCCTGGTTTTGGTCATAGGGATAAGCATGCTTCATTGAATGTCTCTGGGAATGTCCCTTTTTTTCTATTTATTAAAAATATTTTAAGTAAAATTGGTGATAGATCTTTTCTGAATGTTCGGTAGAATTCAGCTGTGAAACCATTTGATCCAAGAATTTTCCTAGGGGAAGTCTTTTTATGACTTTTTGAATTTTGTCTTTTGCAAAAGGTCCCTTCAAGTGTTCTACATCTGCCCAGATCAGTCTGGGTAGGATATGAGTATCAAAGAATTTGTCCATTTCATCTAAGTTTTAAAATTTATCAGAGTATAACTTTTCATAGTATTCTGATACTATCAATTTAATTTCATCTGATTCTGTTGGGATAGCACCTCTGTCATTTCTTAATCAGGATATCTGTATCTTCTCTATTTTTTCTTTTGTTAAGTTTGACAGTGGTTTGTAATTTTTATTGACCCTTAAGAAAAATCAACTCCTGTTGTTATTGATGGTTTCAATTATTTTTGTTTTCTATCTCATTTATTTTAGCTTTTATGCTAAAATTTCCTTTCTTCTAGAGGCTTTAGGATTAGATTTCTGTTATTTTTCTATTTGATGAAGATGTTGAGTTAGGTAATTGATTTTACTTCTTTCTTCCATTTTTATTGCTATGAACTCCCCCAAGATGACTCCCTTAGCTGTATCCCAGAGGTTTTGGTCTGTGGTATTTTCATTTTCATCTGTTTCAAGAAATTTTTTATTCTTATTTTATTCTATTTTAGAAATAAATTATTTTAATCTTTATTTCTTTTATAACCCTATTGTGTTTTAGCAGAGAGTTATTTAGTTTCCACATGGGTAGTTTTGTAAACTTTACCCTTCTGTAGTTAATTTCTAATTTTATGGTTTTGTGGTCGTAATTTGTGATTGATTCTGGAGAATATACCATGTTAACTTGAGAAGAAAATGGATTGAGTTTTAGTTGGTATAAATCCACAAGATTAAGTTGGCTGATTGCATAGTTTAAATCTTGTGCATCTTTGTTGAGTTTCTTTTGAGTTGACCTATCCTTTGTTGAGAGTGATGTGTTGAAGTCTCCTACCACTATTGTGATGCTTTCTGTATATGTCTTTCTTCAATTCTGTTAACTGTTGTTTTATGTGTTTTGCAGGTCTGTCATTTGGCACATAAGTATTGGCCAAGGTTATATCTTCTTGATCTATTGTGCCTTTAATCAGTATGTAATGCCCTTCCTTATCTTTTATGGTGGTTTTCATTCTGAAGTTTATCTTAGTATTGCCATTCCTGTTTTTTTTTTTATGGTTGCCATTTGCTTGATTTATTTTTTCCCAGCCTCTGATTTTGAGTCTTTCTCTCCCTTTTATAGATGTATCTCTTATAGACAACATATTGATGGGCTTTTAAAAAAAAATCCACTCTGCTACTCTTTTTGTTTTTGTTTTTGTGTTTTTTAAATTTTATTTTACTAATTTTAATGAACATTTACAGAGATGTTGGATTTCCATTCATTCACTGTTGCACTTGGTATATAATCCTCCCACACCCCTTCCACCCACCTAGTACACTCCATTATGCAAACTTAATTCTGGACTCTGCTACTCTTTTTCTCTTAACTGGTGCATGTAGTCCATTCACATTAAGTGTGGTTATTGTCAGGCTAGCTTTTACCACTACTATTTTGCTGTGTTTCTTTTTCTGTTGTTTCTGGTTATTATAGTAAATCTCCTTTCCTTTGTTATTTCCATGTGAAGGACTTCACTTAAAATTTCTTGTAGTTTTGATCTTGTTTTCACAGATCCCTTTTGTTCCTTCTTTTCTGCAAAGAATCTAATTTCTTCTTCCTATTTGGTGGAGAGATTTTCTGGGTATAGGATCTTTGACTGGCAATTGCTTTCTTTCACCTTTCTGTATATGCCATCCCATTGTCTTCTAGCTCATGTTTTTTGCTGAGAAATTAGAACTTAATATAATTGTTTCCCTTTTGTAGATGACTTCCCCCCCCTTTACCCTGCTTTTAGCATTCTATCCTTATCTTTCAATTTGGAGACTTTTACTATGATATTTCTCAATGTTGTTCCTTTTGGGTCTAGTCCATTTGGCATTCACTGTGCTTCTTGAATTTGGATGTTTCCATGTTTCATGATACCTGGCAAGTTTTCTTTTAGTACTTCTTCCATGACTTTCTCAGTGACTTCCCTGTCACTCCTGTGTTCTGGAATTCCAATAATATGTATTATGTTCCTTTTGATGTCATCCCACATGATTCTAATGTTTTCTTCTTTTACCTTATGTCTCATGTCTGATTTTTCTTCTAGTATGTTTCCATTGAGGCTCTTATCTCCCAGCTCACAGACTTTTTGTTCCATCTCTTCAGTTCCACTTTTTGTCCCATTAGACACTTCTGCCATTTCAATCTTTTTTT